ACACACACACACACACACACACACATTTGACCTGCCCTCAGTCAGTGTATTAAATGAGATTCTTGTCTGTTTGTGCAGGAGGTGCAGACGGAGCCGGTGCTGAACGCACTGAGGGACACGAGGAAAAAAGGACGCTGCAAAAATCTCTCAAAGGAGAGTCTGCCGTCGGCTCATCTACCGATCAGAACGTATCAGGAGTTCTCTAAGAGTGAGTTCACTGCCACACTTTATAATTACAATATACAGAAACTGTCGGTGCCAGCTTGTTTGAACATGTTGGTTTTACACATCACTTATGTCAAAGTATTTGCAATGAGGACATTTCAGGGTTTGGCAATAACAATGATAAAACATCTTACAGTTTTATTTTAATCACTGAAGAAGATTTTTCTCAACGAGAACAAACCCAGTAAAGTTGGTGTCAGGACAGAGAATCAATAAATGAAGCTGCAGATCAGGTTCACTGTCATAACCATGGTTCATCAATGTTGCCACTTTATGAATTATTATTATTCAAACTAAACATTCCTCAGGTTGTCATGCTGCAACTTCATTTAGTCAATCATCAGTTCATGAAAAACTGGTGCTGCAAAAATCCTGGACTTTAGTTTATTATGAACCAGTGAAAGTTAAGTGATGAATGTTGGAACTGAAACCTGCTGCTCTTGTTGCCGTGCAGAGAGCGAGCAGGCCATCACCATCGACTGGGACGAGGACCACGGATACTGCCACAAAATGCGCTACCAGAAGGGCAAGCTGCTGGTGACGGAGCTGGGCTTCTACTACGTTTACGCCAAGACCTGCTTCCGCTACTACAAGTACGCGCCCGAGGACAGCACTCAGCCCGGGAGCCTGCCGATGGATGTTAGGAACACCCAGCTCATCCAGTACGTCTACCGCGAGAGCATCAAACAGAACAGCAAGGCCATAATGCTGATGAAGACGGGCAGCACCGTGCGCTTGAACAGCACGAGCTATAACATGTACTGCGCCCAGCAGGGCCGCGGCGTGCGGCTGGAGGAAGGAGACACCTTGTTTGTCAACGTGTCCAACGCGTGGATGCTGGACCTGGAGGGTGAAGGGACGTATTTCGGGGCCATTAAGTTGGGTAACTGAAATTTTAAAAGAAACGTGAGGAGCGGACATGCTACTGAACATTTGATATGCCAAAGAACCACTGTTAGTGATTTACAATGTACAAAGAGTGTGTGTTTTTTTTTATATTGTACATTATTGTTGTTTTTTTTTACATTTGCTCTTCACCAGTTAGCCTTGGATTCCTTCATGAGAACATCTAATGGAAACGTGATCACCTCTTAAAAACTCATCTTGCCACTTAGCCCCTCGAACCCTCCCACAAACGAAACATGAGCTTCATCCCCAAAAAATAGCACTGGACTTTTCTTTTATTTTTAGAGTTGGGTTTTTTTTTGGGAAATATCAACACATCTCAGTGCAGAATACAACATGTTTGTGCACTAATTAAACAAACCACAGGGGAGCAACCAAGGAAGTGAAGTTTGTTGGCAGGAGAAGTGCAGTGAGAAAGGATTTATCAGTGTTTATTGATGGAAAAAGAACATTTGTAGCTGATGGAGCATCTGCTTGTACTTAGCAGATTATCACAGGATAGAAATAACAAGACTTCCAGGCCTGTCTCTGACCCGCGGCAGCAGATGCACTGACACTGAAAGGTTTTGTAAGTGTGAACGAGGCGATGAGGCGTAACTCAACAGCATTGTTTGAAAGAAGCATTTAGACGGTGGTTTACGACACCTTCCAAACACTTTGGCTGCATCCACATGACGACTGTTCCGTTTGAAAACACACCGGCTCTGCTGCGGAGTTTCAAAGTCGCCGAATCTGAATTGTCGGTCACATCGGAGCCTTCGCAGATTCGTGGGACACAACATGGAGAATCGATTACAAATGTTACTGACCCTGTCGTCTTTGTAAACAGTTGTTAAATTGTGTATTTTACCACGATACAACAGTTTACACGTGGAGGAGACAGAGATGTTATCTGTGTGATTCCCGTGTCCGCTGGCACACGCATGCTCAGTGTATGTGAGTCGTCACGTGATGCGTGAAGGTGTTTTAGTGTGGACGGGGATTAAAACTGATACGGAGACAAAAATCTTGTGAAAGTGCCATTTTCAAACGAAAACGTAGTCGTATGGATGTAGACTTTGACTCTGACATTGTTTTTTTAAAGCAACACAATCAATCGTGTGTGTGTGTGTGTGTCTGTGTGTTTGTTTGTTTGTTTGTCTGTGTGTGTGTGTGTGTGTGTCTGTGTGTGTGCTCCAGAGATCCAGTTTTCTGTCTCTAATGAAATCTAACGAGTGGCCTGTTCCTTTCAAGGCGATTTACGCGACTATGTCATTTTAAACTAAGGAGGAAATGACACGTGTTTGTTTTGTTTATGACGATCAACACGCGATGCAGATAGCTGGACTGTCTGACCACAGGTGACATGAATAGACTCTTCACTAGAGGAACCGAGTTGAGTTTGGTTCATCGTTAACTTAAAATTCTGTTTTTCATTTGGCTCTTCACGGAGGCAAGTGGGAATATGCACTAAATATTTATTTATTAGCTATAGAAGTACAGAGACGGGTCATTGTTACAGTGACCCCTCGGCTGTAAAAAATCATCTATATTTTATGTCTGTACGACATCCATTACGCAGCACTTAAATAGTAGACACGCTTTTTCTTATTAAAACACAGGGGCTTCATTTTAAATTCCATATTTATGTATCTTGATTTTGACAATTCTGTGTGCACTCGCCTAGCCAAAAGCAATATATAAGGATATATTGTTTCTTCTACAAGATTGTAGCAAACCTGTAAGACCTTCATCTGATTTTTTTTCCATTCAGTGTTCTTTTTTTTATTTATGTTTGTGTACGTCCTAATAAAAAAACTACTTTTGTAACTGTGTTCCATGTGTGTTGACGTTATCCGGTTCAGCTGCTGTTTGAGCAGGATGAAAGTTCGCACGATGAGTCACCTGATAAACAGGTCAACGTCCCGCTGTGAGGTTTCGATAATGTCCACAAGCTTTGGAAAATTCAACGGCCCTGTGGCCAAGAGAGTGAAGTCACTGTGCTCCTGCCCCGGTCGGAGCGAGTCTGGCCTCCAGAGAAACCGCCCACTGCTGCAGCAGCCCTGCAGAGTACACACGCTGTGAATGATGGGACGCATAATGAGAATTTCAATACTTACCCATCGTGCTGATCGGTGTGGTGATGGAGGGGTCTCCCATGAGGCCCCACGGCCTGTAAGAAAGAAGAAACCGTTCTAATGTTGGACCCAAACAATTCCTCTATTGTGTGCAGGTTTAGCAGCACATGGGCCCAGAGCGGTTGAGTTCACACGTTTTGCGCCGCGAGCCGGGACCTCACACGTCCTCCAGCTCATTGTTCAAACATTACTGAGGGTTGGAAATAAAATCTGGGGTCTGAGGAGAAATACTTGGCTGAGCTGCACGAGGAGCTGATTAGTTTTTGAGTTTTGACGGGAGTGAAGTCTGACAGCCGGCTGCAAAGTTTAAATCATCACAATGAAGCGTCTTTGACAGCAATTTACTCCCTCATACCTTCAGAGACAAACTAGTTACAACGACAAACTCTTCAGCCGCGGTGTCGCTGGGTTTAAAAGAGCTGAAGCCTCGAGTGTAAACACTGGACTTCTGTAGTTTGGCTCCGTTTTAAAGAGACTCTTATTTCTCAATTCAACTTGAAACCTGAGTAGAAAGCTTGACGTCCATTGGACCCCCACTGTCAACACACACACACACACACACACACATATACACACTCAACACATGCAGTTACTCACACAAAGAGTTTTCACTTGCACTCATTGGTTCATAAAAGGCCCCACTTGGCAGCAGTAGAGAAGTTACCAGCTTGTTTTATTGCTCACATATGTAAAAACACGCGGCAATGAAAAGCACAGGGCCAATCCATGTCAGAGTGGGTATGGATTTAACCCACACTACAGGGCATTAAACGGATTGCTGACTTGTATTTTCACTCCTGACTACGGGTCGTTAGATGTTCCATTCCGATCTGCTGCAGACGAGCTGCAGTGGAAAGTATGTGAGACTTCAGTCGTGTCCTCTCTGGGTTTTTATGATGCTGCGTCGCCGTCAGACATGATTTCAGCGTCCTCTCCCTGCGGCTCGGCTCCGAGGTGGAGCTGTTGATTCAGAAAAACAAAGTCATGTGTTGGAAAAATATATCAGGGTGTTTTTTCCCCAATAAGACGCAGCAAAGGCTGAAGATGTTAATGGCATTAAACTAAGTATGGGTGCTCAGCTTTATGAGGCTCTGTGGTTTGGAGGAAATGGAGCTCTGAGAAGTAAGTTTTACTGAGCAGCTGGACGTCTTTGTTATTGTGTAGCCAGGTTGCTTAGCGTCGTGCACACTTTGAAATCTCCACATTGGTGCACACTCGTGCTATCGATGTGTAAATGTGTGCGTCGAACACACACACACACACACACACACACAAGCATATACTCACACTCCTCTGCTGACTCAGCATGGCCGGTTATTTTCACAAGCTGGGCCCTCGCCCTTTGTCTTCACCCCGATATAGCTCAGATGTTTCTGCTCTTTGATGTCTGACGTTTTTTTTTTTTTTTTTTACCTCTTGGCTAATGCTAACATGAGTGTTATTAAAACAATAACAGAGGGAGATTTACAGGCTACGCTGCAGACGCAGGGGCGTGAGATAGCGGGAGGGTTATTACTGTAACTGGGCCCTGTCATCTCCTGCGTGAGCTGTCGGCAAAGGCTCTGTGTGAGTGTGTGTGTGTGTGTGTGTGTGTGTGTGTGTGTGTGTGTGTGCCAGACTGTTTATGTCTGTGTGAAAGTGTGAAGGTCGTAAGTCTTTGGGAGGTGTTAGCTGACACGCCCATGAGCAAAAAAAAAAAAAAAAGAAGAAGCTTGTCAAAAGGGCTTGATGGGAAATAACGCCGCAACATTTTTAATTTTCAGTTTCAGTTTTAATATATTTGACCCTCTGACCTTGTGTCCGTCCCTTTGACACGGCTTCAGCACCATGGATAGCACGTCCAACTTCTGTGTTCATTAAGCTTCTAACAGATAAAGTAGATTCATTCGTCTGCTTCTCTGCAAGAACTTTTATAAAACTTAAATAGAATTTGTTTTTATTATTATTTTAGTGAGGAGCTTGCAGAATAACAGAGACGTGCTCGGCTCTGTTTCTACAGCAGACGTTGAGTTTCTACTTTTAACCGACTGCAGTTCAGAGAGAGAACCAGCAAAGAATCTCCTGCTGTGCTCTCACATCGGCTCCTCCTGACTTTCCCCAGACTTTAAACTCGGGGGGGGGGGGCAGACAGAGAAAGTTCCCAGAAACTCTTGAGGCTCTCACTTGGATATTTGTGTCCACACATACAGTCCTTGTGAAGCAAATCCGCGGGATCAGAGTTCAGTGCACGTCTGAATGTGATCTGCGTGACATTGTTTTATCAACATTACATGTGAGGCATTAGATGTGAGATTCTTTCTCACCGATCATGGTTTTGGGAAACTTGTATTTTTCTGCTCATAATTAAGCTCAGGCTATTTTCGCCCATTCCAACAAGACCCAGTCGTGTGCGAACATTTTTGTCGAGCTTTTGTGGACTGGAACGAGCTGAGATGCCCCTTAGCGAGGAACTTAACCTTAAGCTGCTGGAGCTGCTCAGTGGCAGCAGATCAGTCTGTGGTTATTCTGGACTTCTCCCAATTGTGAATATTTGTAACTGCATCTACGTCTGTGGTTCTAAGGACACGTCTCCATGTGCAGCACCATCAGCAGCGAACATCTATCAACCCCAAGAGAAACACATATCATTACACTGCTTGTCACAAACAAACCCATCATCATGTTGAGAAAAACACAGCAGTCGGTTGTTCTTGTGTTGGAGCAACGGACGAGCCGACGAGCCGACGGAGTCTCAGGAGCTTTGAGCCAACAGCTGGCCATCAGAGCTGAAACCGAAAACAAAAATGTCTAAATCTGCTGCGCTCTGACGAACATCCATCGGAAAAAAAGGTTCCCCACCCTGCTTTGAAGAGACTGTAGCAGTGTCTGATGACTGAAACAAGAGGTTGGTGAATTTCACTTAAACCCATAACAATAATCACACTAAGCCGGTGGTTCTCTGAAGCCAAGAATATCCGACTCTACTGCCAGGTGAGGACGAGAGAAGCAGAGCAACGAGCTACAAGTCCAGCGTTGATTCTTAGAGAGTTCAGCTCAACAACCAGGAGAGTGATGGTCGTTTCTCTGTAAATCGAACCTGTGATGATCATGTCAGCATCGTCAGTGGGATGGATGGATGATGGGTGATGGATAAGTTTGGTTTTAATTAGTTATTAGATGAGGATACCTGAACGAGGCAGA